TCAACAAACCTAAAAAGAATGCATTATTTCCCCATTTTTCATATGAGAGAACTGAGCCACAGAGGCTAGAACTTGTTACAGCTCACTGGTGGCAAAGCCTTGCCTTAAATCCAAGTCTGTCTGGCCCCAAAGCTTATGCTCTGAACATATCCATTGTACGGGCTCCTGATATGCAGATTTAAGAAATTGCCCCATTGTAATTGGGATTACAACCATATATATTCTGAGGAAGTAATTGGAATGACTATTTTATAGCCTTTCACTCTTAGGCTCAGAAATTCAAGAATCATCCAGATAGCGAATTTTTGCTTAGATTTTATTTTATTTTTTTATTTTTTGACCGGTAAAGAGCACGGTGTCATCTGCACCATGCTCAGCCAGTGAGCTCACCAGCCATCCCTATATAGGATCCAAACCTGTGGCCTCAGCGCTACCAGTGCCACGCTCTCCCGAGTGAGCCACGGGGACAGCCCTTTGCTTAGATTTTAAACTTAGAAATGCAGATGAAATAGAGAGCAGAGCATTTTCTATGTGTGATCTTTACAAACTTTTTGCCAACAATCTTTTCTAAAGAAAAGCATATCTGCAGTTTTGGAAGTTCACATTTTCAATATAGAAAGCTCTCTAACTTCCCACCAATAGAACTGCTGTCAATTTAGCTTGTTTCATATAAGGCCTCTGTGTGTGTCTCCTCCATGTCCAGGTCCTCAAAGCTTTTATGTAAGAACACCTGGAACAGAAGTCAGATGGAATTGGCCTCATCATAATCACCATACTTTTTCTTTAGGAAACAGAATCGTTGCCTTCTTTTCCTTCACAATGCTGTGTGCGTGTGTGTGTGTGTGTGCGTGTGTGTGCATGCGTGTGTGTGTGTGTGTGTGTGTAAGATTAGCAGGCAGGAGGTAGTCCAATATGAAGTGGAAAGATGAAGGGAACTACTCTTAAGAAGAATGCTATAAAGGGTTTTACAGGAGGAGTTTCAGATAAATAACTGGAGATGTCTAGTTTGAAGGTTGTGAGACTTTATGAGTTCTCAGCTTTTGGGGAAAAATAAACCCATAAAAGTCTCTGCTAGCCCTGCTGACAATATGTGCTAGGCACTGGGAACATAAAGAGGAAAACAGTGAAATCCTGTCTTACGGAATCAACAGATAAGGCTAAAATTACACAGATTTGAAATTGTCCTTGAACATTCCTCGAATTACCCATAAAGAATTATCAGGTTCCCTAGAAGCAGAGCCTGAGCTGAGGATTCTTGTGCAAGTAACTGAGCAAGTGCTCTCAGGTGAAACCTGTATGGTAATGGGGGAGGCAGAGGGTCAAGGTCAACAAATGTGTGACCTCAGCTGAACAGCTATAGTCTAGCCTCAGCCTGATCCCAGAGAGAGCTCTGGAGTGTGAATGGCACTGTAGATTTTGTACCCCCATGCGGTAAAAGGGTCAGCCTTTTGTGTCCCCAACAATCAGGCATTGGCTATAGGCCCTCTCCAGGAATTAGGGTGTAACCTCTTTGGCATTTCTGGGGGAGGTGGCTCCAATCAGATGAGGGCAATTTTCAAAAGAAGGGTGCTGCTGTGAGTGGTTAGCAGCCAGCACCTCCAGCAGTGGGGGGACGGATGTCCTGCTGAGTGAAGGGAATGTGGAGGGGGCATGACCAGCAACTGCTGCAAGTACACNTCTCCCTAGGGGAGACAACTCACAAGGCTCATTTCATGCTCACTCCAAGAATAAGATCACTGAGTGGAATGGGCACAAAACTGCCCCTCACTAGGTCAAGTTGCTTTCTCTTTAGGGATAGTGGCGAATGAGGGAGTGGACACATGTAGTTGAAGAACCTACAGTTTAGATAATGCTTCAATCTTTAGTATTAATTCTGGGCTTTTATCATTGGTTTATCTTCACTTAGAAGTGGATAGTCTATCCTACTTTCTAAGTTTTTTTTTTTTCTTTTTTAATTTAGTGGCAGGCATCGTGCTAAGTATCTTACATGCATGACCTTATTTAATCCTTACAATAACTATGAGGTAGATAATATTATAATTCCCCATTTTACAGACGAAGAAACTAAGAGTTAGAGGAGTTAGAAAAAACTTGCCCATAATGAAATTATGCAGCCAGTATTTGAACCAAAGTCTGTCTGATTCCAAAGCTCAAACCCTTAACCACTCTACTAAAGCCAACTATGAAACCTTTGACATTGCCCTTGATGGATCTTCACTCATTCATTCATTCGACAGTGTTTTATGAACGTGCCTTATGCCAGGTGCAGTTACTAGATTAGTATTAGAGTTTCAACAACGAAACCTCTGAAACAGAGCATATGTTCATGTGTTCTTGTGGGTCACTCTTCCTGCCTGCCTGTACACACAGGTCCATGTGTCTGTGTTTGTAACAATCTCAAGAGATTAATGTAAACACAAGGACCTTTGGATATTTCCTAGTAACTCAATTTACTGTTTTAAATTTTTTAACAGGCTAAAAGAGATGCTAAGCGAATGTCTGCAAAAGAGGTCACCATTAACGTTACAGACAGCATCCGACAGATGGACAGAAGTCGAAGAATCACAAAGAACTTCATCAACTAGTGGAGTGTTCAAATAGAAAGGCTTCTTTGGAGCCCTTCGTGGTACTGGAACCTTGAAGTGGGCACCCCATGCTGAATGTGAACACTGCCGAGTGCCTTGAGAGACAGTCTTACCCAGCAGCAAACAGCTCCCGGAGCTGTTGGGACCTTCTCAGCCTCCCACTTACCACGCAGGTGTATTGGTGCAGTGCTCGCATATNGATGTCCTGCTGAGTGAAGGGAATGTGGAGGGGGCATGACCAGCAACTGCTGCAAGTACACAGGATTTATGTGCCATGGTAGAAACCTACGTGTCACTTGTTCATCCATAGAACAGAGCAATTTATTTTTCTCCAGTGGTGCAACAATCCATCATTTCTTTGGCTGCACTCTAGATGAGTAGTTGGCTTGTGTTCAGAGGATGAAGCCATGTTGTATGAAAAATACGCATCTATCAACACTGGACTCTCCCAGCATGGGGAGGTTCTCACGCCAGGAGCAGAGACTGACGGTCTTTCCAGGAAGCAGACTGTGAGATGTCATATACAGTATGCTCATTAGGAAGTGCCTGTGGAGTCAACACCTGTGGAGGGAAGAGAAGGAAGTCGGAGTGGGCTGAGGCAGAAGCTGAGCCACAGTGCAGGCTGGCAAGAGCCCCAGCCAACCCCACCCCATGGGGAGCTTAGGAACTAAAGGCTTGTCAGAGTTGACCTGATTTAGGCTCAAATGGCCAGGCCTTTATACTCCTGCATTTACCCTTGCATTGCGCCACTT